TGACTAGGTTTTCCTCATGTTTCACTTAGTTACTACAGAATAACAAATCACTCCAAAAATCAGTGGCTTTAAACAATAAGAATTTATTATTGCCCACAAGTCTACAGGTCATTTGGGTGGTTCTTTTGGTCTTGACTGGGCTCATTTATGCAACTGTTATCAGCTATGGAATCTGCTGATCATAGCTGGGTTATCTCCCACATTTGGGCAGGTCTGCAGGATGGTCTAGCTTGGCCCAGACTGAGATTACTGGGCTGCCTCCCATATGCTCTATTATCCTCTGGTAGGTGGTAGTAGAGGCCCCAGAAAGAGAGAGAACATAAGCATTCAAGGCCTCTGGAGACCTAGGCTTGAAATGGACTTATTTGTCCTTTCTGCCACGTTTGTTGGCCAAAGCAAGTCATGAAGCCAAACTCAAGAGTCAGTATAGGAGGATGCTACTAAAGGTGTGCATACAAGGAGGGCTGAAAAATTGGGGCCATAATCAATCTACCATACCATACCAGCCCCAACTTCAAATCTGCCACCCCACCGTCAGAGGGGCCCAGAGAACAACAGAATGATTGACGAAGACATTGGGATCTGCAGGACTTGAATTCAAATCTAATTCCTTGTCTGAGTATGTTCGAGCCAGTTACTTAGCCACTCTGGCCTTGGGTTCCTCATCTGTAAAGCAACAACAATAAACTCTCTCCCTCAGGGCTGTGAGGATGAAACGACATGAATTGTGAAAAGTCTCTACCTGGCCCATAACAAGTAAACAAGGATTGGTAGCAGGTGTTATAACATGTGAGGTTGAAAGCCTGGCTCCCAAGTGATGGGGGATCCCAGAGAAACCCTATGCACCCCTCTTTCCTCCAGGCTTTAAGTGGGATGTGGAGGATGAGAAAATGAGGAGGGAAAGGATGAGACAGGTGAGGGGATGGGGTGTGGAGGGTCGATGTGGTAAAAACCACCGTGCAGGGACTCAGGAGGGACTTGAAGAAAGCAGAGTGCACTTCCACCGGTCACAAAGGCCTTGCAGTCCAAGCGTCTGCAGGCATTTGTCAAGCCAGGAAGAAAATATAGCTGGTCCTCTCCAGGGAACACGGAAAAGAATGAGGCAATTCAATAATGCATCAAGTCAGCTCAAGTACTCTAGGAAAGGGGTCTTTTGTCATCCTCACCTAACAATGAAGGGGCTGTGGCTCTCACTTGATTGGCTTCTGCGCACATCTTTTTGAGTGTTTGCATGTGAGAAACAGATGGAGACATACTCCCTGAGAAGAAGAGAACTTCATTTAACAACAAGGCTAAAAGGAACCAAGAGACCATTTGGCTTACCCTCCTCATTCCACAGATGAGCCAACTGAGGTCTGTGAGGCCAAATGGCTTGTCCCAGTTCACACAGCCACTTAAGTGAGCCTGGACTAGAACTCAGGTGTCCTGCTTCCATTGACCCCAACTGCAAGTTCAGGTTTCCAAAACCACCCTTAGGTTGAATAATTCGCTAAAAGGAATCATAGAACTCATCAAAAACTATTATAGTTACAGTTTATTTCAGGGAAAGGATACAGATCAAAACTAGACAAAAGAAGAGACACATAGGGTAGAGTCTGACAGGTTCCAAATACAAAACTCCCATCGTCTTCAGAATGCATTACCCTCCCAGTATTGATACTGATGTGTGACAATATGCATGGAGTGTGGCCAACCAGGGAAGCTCACACAAGCTTCAGTGTCTAGAGTTTTTATTGGGGCCTCATTACATAAGTATGAGTTATTGTCCATGGGATTGGACCCAGTCTCCTGCCCCACCCCACTCTCTGGAGGTCAAGTTGACATCACCTGGCCTAAGCAGCCTACCATGTCACCTCCTTAGCATAAACCATGAGGTGTGGGCTAAGGGGCCCACCATGAATAACAAAGACATTCCTAATATTTGAAAAATTCCAAGAGTTTAAAGCCTTCCTCCCAGGAACCAGGGACAAAGGCCAGACCTCTTTGGGCAAGGCCAAATTCTTTATGACACATCCTTCATCTGTGTATGCCTTATAAAGGCAGCTACAATGAAAAATAAAAATAGCTATTCTGAGAGTACACTAGGTGCTGGACATTATGCACATATTTTGTCTAATTCTCACGACAACTCTGCAGACTTGGTGTTTTTAGTCCCATTTTAAAGATAAGAAAATTGAAGCTCATGAAGTTGTCCAAAGTTTTAAAGCTGGAAAGCAACAAATTTGAGCATGTCGACACAGCATACTCCATGGGTCTTTAGCTCCATGTTGCTAATTTCATTCATTCATTCATTCTACAAATATTTTATTCAAGCCTACTATGTGCCAGTAACCATTCTAAGTGCTAAAGATACAGCAAAGAACAAAACAGACAAAAATCTCACTCACATCAAGTTGATATTCAAATGAGAGAGACAGACAATAAGCAAATAAATATATAAAATATACAGTGTTTTGTACAGTGATATTGCTATGGAAAAAATAAAGCAATGTGTGTACCTTTGTGTGTACCAATGTTTGGACCTTTATTCAAACATATCAACTATAACATCTTTGAGACAACTGGGACATTTGAACGTGGACTGGTATTATATGATACTACTAGTTTTGTTAGAATCAATGATGGCATGGTGACTGTGTTTGCCAAAAAAGTACTTATCTATTAAAGATGCAGACTGAAGTATTTATGGATAAAATAAAATAAGATTGCAAAATGTTGCTAATTATTAATGGTAGATGATACATAAGGAAAGGCCTTTATACTACTCTAATTTTGTATGTTTGAAATTTTCATTAGTACAAAGTTGCTTTTTTTTTTAAAGTGATGGATGGGGTGCCAGATAGGATGTAAGGAGTATTGCAAGACCAAGTATGTAGATCAGGGAAGGCTTCAGTAAGAACGTGACAGTGGAGCAAAGATTCGAAGGAGATGGGGAAAAGATCTATGTGGATCTCTGGGAAAAACATTCCAGGCAGAAATGGGAGCTAGTGTGGAGCTCTGAGGTGAGGTATGTGTCTGTCAGGGCATGTTCAAGAAATAAGGAGTCAACGGCTGGAAAGGGATGACCAATGAGTAAAATAGTAGGAGGAGGGATCAGAGAGCTAACAGGGTGAGTGGAGAGAAAAGGAAATGCACACAGGTCATATCCAAACAAGTATTCATACCCAAACTATACAAGAATACGTGCGAACCATTAAGAAAAATACAGGCAACCCAATAGAAAAATGGGCAAAAGACTTGAACAGGCACTCCACAGAAGAGGAAATGGCCAATAAGCTTATGAAAAGGTGTTCTACTCCATTAGGCATCAGGGAAATGCAAATTAAAACCACAATGTTACAACACGACATACCCACTGAAAGGTTCAAATTAAGAGGCAGGCAATACTAGGTATCAGAGAGGAAACAGAACTCTCATCCACTGCTGGTGGGTGTGCTAAGTGGCACAAACAGTGTCTACTAAAACCAAAAATATGCATACCTTTAAGCAATCAATTCCATTTCTAGGTATATATCCAACAGAAAACCATGTAAATGTCCACCAAAGGTTGGAACAAGAATGTTCAGAACACTGAACGCTGAACAATGAGAACTTCCCAAATGCCTGGTAACAGCAAAATGGATAAACAGGTTACTACCCAGCATTCAGAATAACAAAGTAAACAATATAGATGAATCTCACAAAAATAGTGAGCAAAGGAAGTGGACACAAAGGATTTAATACTGTGCGATTCCATTTATGTAAAGTTCAAGAACAAGCAAAACTAACTTAGGCTGTCACAAGACAGAATGGTGATCACCAGTGCGGAGGAGAAAATGACTGGAAAGGGGGGCCGAGGGGACTTGGGGGAGCTGGGAATATCTTGTTTCTTGATTTGGATGCTGGTTAAGTCTACGAGTTCAATGTGTGAACAGCCACCAAGAGACACACTGATGATTCGTGCATTTTTCTCCATCTGTATTATACTTCAAGGAAACATTTTTAAAAATCATGTAGGGATATCTTGGTTCCCTCCTCTGAGGTACCAGTGACATGTCCAACACCCAGATGCCCCTACCCCCACCCATGCTGAATAAGAGGGACACAGGGCACGGATTGTCGGTTTAAAAAGAGAAAAAAAAAAAGAGAAGAAGACATGCTTTTCTCAGCTCACAGCTGCAACCTCTACAGTTAAAGACACTGAAACTAACATAGCGAGTTCTCTGGCTCCTGGAAGGAAGAAATCGACTCCTAAGAACTGGGGCACAACTGTAAATAAGAAGATATGAGAACTGTCTTCCCTTCAACCTTCTAGATGCTAATAACGTACCGCACTATATCTTATGCAGCAGAATACTTTCACACAGTCACAATGCCAGTTAAGTTGTGGTGTCATTTTGAGACCAATCACTTAGAGTTTAGAGAAAAAGGAATTGAATATATTAAGTGTATGCCTTATGGGCTCTTTAAAAGCCAAAAGTTATTACGGCTTTTCAAACTAGAAATGAAAAGGCACTGAAGCAATCTACAGTTTTCAATTTCCAATAAGATAAATATTCACAGCCATAACCCATATAAACAAAAAGCTCTCTGGGGTCCTCAATAATTTTTTTAACAGTAAAGGGTCTCACTTGAGCCCAGAAAGTGAGAAAATCCCTGTGGGTTATCGATTGTTGTGAAAACCACTTGCTGAGAGTTCTGTGTCTTCCTCTCCCTTCACGAGGAGCTGCTGTTTGGGAACTCCGAGTCCCTGGCTGGGCCGAGGTTATCAGTCCTTCTAGCTCAGGAAGCTACTTTTCAGTGACCTGAGGGACTTTGACCAAGTCTCTAGCTTGTTTCCTCCATGGTATTTTGGGTTACTTTGGTAGTTGGGGTTTTCTTTTCTTTCCTTTTTCTTATTTCTTTATTCTTTCATCTTTACTTTTATCATTTTTAAATTCTTTTTACTCAATATTTTAAAATTTAGTTTGTCGGTATTTTTCTTTTTTGTCTGGCATTTTGGTTCCCTTAGAAAGACCCGTTCCTCCTCGTCTCCAAGCGCGGCAGTGAGTCCAACACGCTGCGGCCCCTCAGCCACCGCTGCCGAGAGGCTCATGCTGACGGCGTCTCGGGAGACCACTGGGGAGAGTCACGGCTGGGCTGAAGGGGGCGCAGCACATCCTGACTGGGGAAGCGAGAGCCGGGAAGGTCAGTAAGGAGACTCGCCTCCTCCAGTCCAGAGACTGTCCCACAGGCAGGAATCGTGAAGGCTTGGATCATCCCAACATAGTGAAGTATCTGAAGTGACCGCGGCTGAGGAAACTCTCTGCCTTGTTAGGAGGGGCGCTGGTGGAGGAGGGGTGTTTGAGTCCCTAGGGCTCATGGCAGTAGGAAGGACGAGAAGCTGAAGGCAAATTCCACCAGACGGTGTCCGCTGTGCAAACTGTCACCAGAAGCGTATTGCCCATAGAGACTTAAAGGCAGAAAAGGTGCTCTTGGATTCTGGCCTGAACATCAGGATTGCATACTTTGGCCTCAGCACAAGTTCACGTTTTACAACAAGCGGGATACCTTCTGTGGCAGCCCCCCGATGCAGCCCCGGAACTCTGCCAGGGTCAAAGTGTGACCTGGTGGATATATGGAGTCTGGAAGTTATTCTACATGCACTGGTTGGCGGATTCCTGCCTTTCCATGGAGAGAACTTCTCAGAGATGTGGGAGCAGGTACCGAGCAGAATGTTATATACCCTCACACGTGTTCACAGAATGTGAAAATCTGTTTAAGAAATTTCTGATTCTCGAGGAGAAATAAGAGCAAATCGTGAAGGATCCATGAGTTATTGTGGGTCATGAATATGAGGAACTAAAGCCCAACGTGGAGCCACTCCCTGACTACAAGGTCCCCCGCGGGCTGAATTCATGGTGTCCGTGGGTTACACACGGAAAGAGAGATCCAGGACTCACTAATGGGCCAGAAATACAACGAGGTACCGGCCACATACCTGCTCCTGATCCGAGGAGAGGGCGCCCCCCTCCACCCCGAAGCCTCAGCCTCCAGCTGACCTCACAACAGCAGCGCCCCTTCCCCAGCCCCGAGGAACAGCACAGGGCTCTGCCAACCGCAAGCAGCACAGTTTCAGCAGCCCGCCATTCACACCTTTAACTGCTACCCTAAGAATACTCAGAGGAGCCACGCAGGTCCTGAGGAGGATCAGGGGACAGGGCCACAGCACAGCCGATATGCCTGCCAGCCCCCTACCCAGCCGCAGGGGAAGACCACCCCTGTCCCCCTGCCAACAGCGACCTCTCCACCAGCACAAATGAGAGCAGGAATTCCCCACTCTGGGAGGGGGCCAGCCCTGGCCAGGCCACCATGCAGAGCGGCACAGACATCCTAACCGTGCCAGGGCCTGGGCCCCCCATGGCTTCTGCTTCCGCCACAGTCTCCCCCACCTGCACCAGGAATCCAGGTGGGCCTCTGGGCTGCACCCCATGCAGGGCACCTGCGAGGATGAGGCCAGCACAGCCCCCAGCCGGCCCTGTGGCCCCCTCTAGCCACAACGTCAACATCCGTGGCGGAGTCTCAGGGGTCCAAAGGGAACTCCGCCCACACTGGCGCTAGACCCAGAGATTTTGCCCGAAGGTGAGACCCCAGCCTCTCCCTATGGCAATGGCTACAGCTGGCATGGGCCACTGGTTGCTTCTTCAGGAAGTTCAAGATCAAATCCACAGGAAGAAGTCTGTGTTTGAGGTTTGCCGGAAGGAACCTGAGTGAACCTGAAATCAAAGACAGAGGGACGACACGCCTCCCTCGCGCGGCGGGCAGGGAGGCAGGGATAAGAAAATCCAAGGCTTTCCAGCGGCCAAGCCGGCTCCCTACTCTTCAGATGGCGGATGAAGGTCCCAGCTCCGCGAGCCCAGGCGATGATGCGGGAGACGCGGGGCTCCCCGCAGGGGGACTCGCGCGCGGTGGGGCCGTGCACACGCCAGGGCGGCTCCCCCCGGCCGGCCAGCGCCACGGCTTCCAGGAGCATCGCTCCAGTAGAACCAGCGCCTGGGGACAAGAGGAGAGGCCGCGCTCGCCCGCCTGGGCCGAACGCAGCCTGGCCGGTGCTTCCCCGGAGCCCTGCTCTCTGCCTGGCCGTCTCTGTCTTCTCTTGTGCCTGGTGAGGGAGGACAGATGGCTCTGGAAGACAAGCAAATACAGTTCCAGTGAGGACAGGCAGAGGCTATGACTCAGAGCTCGCTGGAGCGGGGGTCGGCCGCCATCTCTTGGTTTGGCAGAGGCTCCAGGCAGGCAGGGCGATGGGAGAGGTTTCTCGTGAAAAGGGAAGGCTCCACGGGTGCAGACTGGAGGCTGCTGGCCAGCGGCCACCTTTCCTCCCTGCTCCGTTGGGACAGACTGGATCTGTGGGTTTCCCGGGAGGGTGGCTGTGGGTTTTCTGGGAGGGTGGCTCGGGGCTGGAACCTGCTCAGGCTGGGTGGTGGAGTTCTGTCACACCCTCCCCAGGCCCACCTCCCCTTCTCCCTCTCTTCTCCTTTTTCCCCTCCAAGCAAACCTCCTGGGCTGGCCTGCCCCTGACCCCAGGCACCTGGGCAGGTGGGGCTGGTCTGCTCTGAAGCTGCAGAGGTGAGGGGCGGAGGCTCTGGCCTCCTCCCACCCCGAGCCCTTTGCCCTCCCTCCTTCCCCAGAGCTGGGCATTGCTCCACAAGGCGCTATGCTAGGGGCATTTGTCCCCCTCCTCAAGTCTGTGCCATCACCTCCCCACCGCCCTCCAGGGCTGGGAGTGTGGAGGGGACTGCAGGGCTAATAGGGTCCTCTGGGCTTCCCCAGGCTGTTTGTCTCCCTGGTGACAGGGACAACGAGCATCCTCCATTCTAGGACAGCCTGTGTCTGAAAGCACCCCTGACCCGCCGTCCTCCCCACGGCTTCCTCTTGATTGGCATTGATCTGGACACCAGCTGGTTTCACTGCAGTGACCTCATCCCACCCCACCCTGCTGCCTCATCTCTCTGTCACCCTAGCCTGACAGTGTCACCCATCCTTGGGCTGGGGCACAGGTGGGGCAAAATGGCACCTGCCTCCTAACCTTACTGCTGGTGTAGGAATGGATGGTTATGGGCGCTGGCTAGTAGTGGTTGCTGCATCCTTCAATTTATTTCTCTGCTCTTTCTGTTCTTGAGAAATTGGGGCTCAGACCAAAAGCTCCCCTTCTCTCCACTCCCTATCCCTTCCCTGTGGAGCAGCCTGGATGCTCTGAAGCATCCACAAGAGCGTGGCTTTGTTCCCAAAGAAGGTAGGGGTCAGGGCACCCCAGTAAGTGGCCCCTCCCCACCCAGCATCCCCTCCTGCACTTAGTCTCTCGTAGGGACCAAACACATAGTAAAGAGAATGTTTGGGAGGGGAGCCTTTAGGCCTCTATAAAGACTTTTAATCTGAGAGGAAGGGGGAGACACTGGAGAGTTTTCACAGAGAACTGACATAAGCTGACTTATGCTTTAACAGAATCCCTATTTGATAGAGTGTTTAGGGGAACAAGGGCAGAAGTAGGTAGACAACAGGAAATATTGCCGTAACCCAGGGGAGTGGTGATGGTAGATTGGACCAGGATTATGGAAGCAAAGGTGGGAAGAGGAGTGTGTCCCTGTGGCTGGCAGCTTGTACCTGCTGAATTAGCGGTCAGCTGGCCTGACTTCTGATGGACCTCCAGCAGGGCTCTCTCTGCCTCTCAGGCTCAGTATGGTCTTCCATCCTCTTCTCCCAATCTCTTCTCCCAGCTGATATCAGAAGATTCAAGCAGCAGAGGCCAAAAGGAGTAATATAAGATGTTAAATTAGTAAGTATGGAGAGATGAGACAGAGGAAGAGAAAGGCCATACGTTCATGAGTCTTAGTTGCAAGCAACAGAAACCAACTCAGGTTGATTTCAACATGAAAGGAGTTTATGATAATGATATTGTGTAGATCACAAAATTGCCAATATGGATGGAGAGCCAGGTTCTGTGAAACACAGGATCAATGCCCACTACGACATGGCACAACTCATCAAGTGTGGACATCCCTACCACCACTGGCAAGGAGAAGACTCTACAGCTTGTACCACCAACTCCTCCAGCAATGGACCCTGCATACCACCCCTAGCCCTGCTCTCTCTACTGCCCTTGGAACTCAATCTGAATGGAGGTTCCTGGTCTCTACCTCTTTCAGTCACTGATTCCTGACTCCAAGTCAAATAAGTCACTTGACCAGGCCCTAGCTGCAAGGGAGTCTAGGAAAGCAGGTTTGGCATTTTTATCTCCCATTGGGTGAGGCACCCTCTGCATCCCACTATGGCTAATAAGGTTAGGAAAATACCAAACATACAAGGGATTTCAGATGCTAAGCAGATTTGAAAAAAACAAGAGCCAGCCCTGATGGCCTAGTGGTTCAAGTTTGGCATGTTCTGCTTTGGCAGCCTGGGTTCGTTCCATAGAACCACACCACTTGTCTGTCAGTAGCCATGCTGTGGCAGCAGCTCACATAGAAGAACTAGAAGGACCTACAACTAGAATATACATCTATGTACTGGGGCTTTGGGGAGGAAAAAAGAAGGGGGGGGGGGGAAGATTGGCAACAGATGTTAGCTCAGGGCAAAACTTTCCCAGAAAAAACAAAACAAAACAAAAAAACAACTGAAAACACAAACACACGTGTGCATAAGACAAAGTATATATGATGGGGATCAGTGAATGTCCTATGATTATAAAATTACCAGACTGATTTCCATCTGTGGCTCTAATCCACACCACCAGAAGAAAAACCCAAGAGAAAAATTACTCTACTGAGGGAACTACCTTAAATGAAAATACTTTTTGGATATTTGTTTAAATATTCTTGTCAACAGCATGACAAAATTTTTATAAAACAATGTTTGTGATAGATAGACAAATCTTGACCATATGGTTGACAAACCCCCTTGACCCAGCTGTAACTGGAGCTCAATAAATCCTTGGAATTCCCAGGTATTCAAACAAATAAATTGCCTTTTCAATTCTAGTTAGTTTGAAATGAGTTTCTGTCACTTGCGCCCAAGAGAATCTGGAATAAACAACTATTTTAATAAAATTGGGACTTAACATTTGTTGATTCTATTTGTTTGGACTACAGACGTGAATGGAC